CGGAAAATGGCTGCTGGCCCATGCCCACCCCGGAACGATCACCTTCATTTTTGCACAGGCCATTAGTATGTGGTTGGTTCACTGCAGCTGCAAACGGACCTTGTAATTAATGGCTGCTTAAGGCAATAGTGGTTTTGAATTTTGACTGGGGGACTTCAAGTTAGTAATGCTAGATAATATTCTAGATAGATTCCATCTGACTTTGAATATTTTATTTATGATAACTGTAAGAATGAACCCAAGTCAGCAGGTGTTATTTGAGCATCCTCTAATTGCTCATAATTATTCTGGTTCCTCAAGAAGTATCATTAATACAATTGTTATATATAATCACTAATCATTTATTCAAGTCTTGTATATTAAATAATACATACTATTATTATACACAATTATTGTATACTATTTATACTTTGCTAATAGAATAACTCGAAATTGATATATGGCCAGCAATTCTTCTCCTAAGCATGTACCAAAGAGAATATGAGTGCAAGCATCCATAAAATTATTTAAGAATGTAAATAGCTAATTTATTTGTGATAGCTCCAAGCTGGAAAATGCCAAGAATTCATCAACTAGAAACTGAATAGACAAATTGTGGTCTTGTTATATGGTGGAATATGGAACAGGAATTTAAAGTAGAATTTTCAAATCTACACAATTAAGTGGATTTATCTTTAAAAACATTATGTTAAATGAAAGAAAGTAGATGTAAGAAGTAACATATCAGTAATGTTTACATGAAGTTCAAGATCTGATGAAACTAATCAATAAGCACAGAAGCCAAGGGTGGTCACCTCTAGAAGTACCATGATAGACAGAAAAAGGAGAGATTTTCCATACTGCTGGGATTATCCTCTGTGTTGTTCTGGCTATTGATTAGACAATGGTATACAATACAAAAACCCACTGAATTGAATACTGGGATTCCTCTATTTTATCATGTGCCTACTTCAGATGACTAAAACTCATATCTCTGAATTTCTTTGGAGGCTAGCCTTTTGCTTTCTCCACATCTGCCTTGACACACCCAAATCTGCCTATTTTCACTATATTTGAGACGAGATGATTTACAATTCAGTGGAGTTTGGCTTTGTGGCAGGCATTTTAAGATAACACTATACACCTCAAAAGCAATCACTAAACTTTCAGGTTTCAGTAACTACCACAAATGCAGCTGATCGTTCAGTCAATGGAACAGTTCAGTCGGAGAAGGCTGTTTCTCCTCCATGGTGAGTAAAGGACCCAGGCTCTTTCCAGCTGTAGCTTATTGGTAATGTATAGGTAAGGGAAGATGAGGGGGAGCTCCATCTGTGTGGCTAAAGGAAACCCCTCATTCTTGCTGGTTAAAGACTCTCTGGTGCTGCCTTTTGTAGGAGGAGCATCCACTCCTTTGTAAGTAACCCCTCACCTATGCTTTGTCAGGAACTGGTAGAATCATGCTTCTGTGTAGTTGAAAGTTTTTCTGTGTCCTGCCTGGCCCTGTGGTCCTGCAGATGCTTATAAAATAATCATTCAGAGGCTTAATATTATTTATAAACTGTATGACCATCGCAGGCTTCTCACTAACTAGCTCTTATAACTTAACCCAACCTATAACTATTAATATATGTATTGCCACGTATTTCATGGCTTTACCTGTGTCCCATTACATGTTGCTCCTTTGGCAGCTGGTTTGCATCTCTCCTGCCTCTGCCTTTCTTCTTCCTGTCTCTCTCCTTGGATTTCCAGCCTGCCTCTAAGCTGCTTTGCCGTAGGCCAAAACAGCTTATATATTAACCAATGGGGACAACATATATTCACAGCATATAGAAAGACATCCCCCCACCCCTCACCTCCCCACTCCCCCACCCCTCCACCCCTGTCACTTCTGTTTTTGTTGGGACCTTAGGAGGAGGGGTAGATGTTTACATTTCCTCCAGGGGAAGGAATTTTAGCTGCAGGGTCCAGTCCTTCTCAAGGGTCTGCTTCACGAGTGTGTGATCTGTACAGCGGCACAGGCAAAGAGCTTAGTGCTTCTCAACCTGTGGGTCGCAACCCCACAGGGGTTGCATATCAGATATTTACATTATGATTCATAACAGTAGCAGAATTAAAACTGTGAAGCAGCAACAAAATAATTTTATGGCTGGGGGTCACCACAATATAAGGGTTGCAGCATTAGGAAGGCTGAGAACCCCGGGTAGAGGAACCTGGGACTTTGGAGGCTAACACTCGGCTGACTGCTCTGCTGACATCAAACTGACATCACTAATGATTTCATCTTTGAACTTGTGCTTCATAAGGGAAATCTGATAGGACAAGGGACCACGTGCTTGTACACAGAAAATACAGAACGCAGGCCAACCACAAGTTTTCCCTGTTCCCTCAAATGTAAAATGCTGGTGTCCCATGAGCATGGAATGCTGAGAGCCCACAATGTGTGGACTTGAGCAAACTCCAGAGATGTATGAGGCAAGTATGCTCCATTGACAACTGAGGAAGCAGGACTTGACTAACCAGAGGCCATGGTCTCCATTCAACCAGAACTGGCTTTGAACCTAGTTAACAGCAATTAAGGATGCCTTCGTGTACTCTCTTACTGGTGGTTACTTCCCAGAATTCATTAACTGATGACCTGAAAATGAAGACCCAGAGGGAAAGGGCCTTTTCCGGGCTCTTTAACACAGCACGATGCCAAAGGTCCAGTGTTGGCATGCAAAAGGAACACATATCAAGAAGTGGAATAGAGGGTGCTTTGTTCTGTTTCCACTGTTCCAGTAATGACAAAACACTACACATATATGAGCTGTAAAATACAGACAGTGCAGTATTGTGTGAGTTAAAACCTCTTTGAACTACATTGCAAACTGACATTGCAAAATAGATAAATTGTGACGTGTGTGATGATAATTTGAAACATTTGTTTTTCTTTACTTAGAATATTAAATAACACATAGAAATGCCATGACAGTTCCAAAGACAGAATGCAGGAAGACATAGCTTTTTATTTTGTATCACCTTGACAATTTTTCCTTGTTTCATTTTAAATTGGGACCAGCAGATAATGCATACATCTCTCTCTGACACTTATATATTAACCAATGGGGACAACATATATTCACAGCATACAGAAAGACACCCTCCCCCCCCCGCCACTTCAGTCCCATTCAGCTTTCTGAGGCCAGTCTCACTGGACCTCTCCTCTACTGGGCTCTGTTGGTTCCTTGCCTTATCTCATCTGGCAGTTCATACTCAGCCCTCCACTTCTTTGAGTTCTGTGTCTGTGGAGTCAATCAACCACAGGTGAAGATACTTGAAAAACCTGCATGTGTACTGTGCATGTGCAGACCTTCTTGTTAATCCTTTAATATAGTATAATACCTATTTGCTTAGCATTTTAATCCAGAGGTGAGTTATAGGTCAAAAGAGTGTTGGTTATATGCAAACACTATACCGTTTAACTCATGGAGTTTGGCCATCTGCAGATCCAATAGCTGTAGAGGGACTTTGGAATGGCATCCTGGAGATGCTTAAGGATGACTCTGTGTCTTCCTCAGGGGACTACCATCCATCAGTTTTGAAACTGTCACCTTCCCTAAAATGTCTGTCATGAAAGGCTGGGGGTAGACTTTACAATTTTTAGCCAGCTGGATGGGCCAGAATGCCTGGGCCTTCATAGAAAGTAACAGTGAACATAGAGATTTCGACTCTCCAGGGCTAGCTAGGTCATGAGGCAGAAGAGCAGGCTCTAGAGACAGAGACAGCTGTTTTGTAAATGAAATGATTTAATGTTTCACCCCCTCAGAAAATCTGTCCACAACTTCATGCACCTCCAATAACTCCCTCTGTGGGAATTCTCTGAGGCTTCTCACACCCCACACCTCTAATTCCTCATGGCAATTCCTTGCCATGATCATCATCTTTTATATCTGGTCAACTCTAACTTGAGCTTTATTTCTCCAAGTAGATTCTGGTAACATCACAGACACAGTAGGCAGGAAAAAGTAAGACGTTCACATCCAGCTAAAAACGTAAGCAATGGTCACAAATGCAACAATTACAAGAAAATATTTAAAAATCAACGTGAACACAACAAACATTCACAAAGAAATGCATCTCACCATGTTAAACAAAGATGCATCTAAACTGCATGTTGGCTGCGCCGAGGCCCCAGCCTACTCTGCTGGGCTCCGTGTTTCATACTTGCTTGTCCAGTAGCTCTGCAGGAACAAACAGATAGATTGCTTGCTTGCTGGAGTCATCAGTTTGAAATTCACAGAGTGGTCAGGATGGCTCGGGGGAGCTGTGATGATGGGCTCTGAAAATAGTGACTGTGCACCACAAATCAGCCAAGACAGGACCCGGTCCCTGTGCCCCCAGGTTAGAATATCTTCTGCCTTCCTGACGGGTTCCCATGACTGTGTTGTCCCGTTGTGTATCGCACTTTGATGGTAACCCCTCTTACCACCACCGGCTTGTCACAATACCTGTTCAAATGGAATCCTGCCAGATCTCCTTGTTTGGGTGTCACGATTATATAACATGGCTACAGCCAGTCTTGTGAATTGTTGTGTCATGTGACTTATTTAATACTGTAATTGACTCTTTATTTCAGATTTTGTCAGGCAAAATGAGATTAGAAAGACAAAGCCATCTGAACAAAGAAAAAGAACATGTTTTGTTTTTGTTTTTGTCTTTGGAGGGAGCGGGGGTGTTATAGTTCATTTTTACTATGTGTCTTTCTTGAGGAAGAATTTAAAGAAGAAAGATAGCTCCGAGTTATGCATAGGAAAATAAGTAGTAAAACATCCCGGGGCTCCTCAGGGCCTCTTGATTTCTCTGCCTACAATATCCTTATTGCAGAGCTGTTCACAAGGCCGGCTGGAAGACCTGGGCCCCACTGTAAACTGCCCTTGCTTACCTGCGCCTAGCTTTTCCTCGCGGCCACCAGGGGGCCGTCTGGGTGGAACTGGATTGGAGACGCTGCAGCTTTCCTCCAAACCAACCAAAACATCCCAAGGCAGCTTTGGACCAAAGCCCAGGAACACGCCTGCAAAAACAACCCTCACTCGAGTCCGCAAGTTCTTGGTGCGGCTTCATTCGGGGCGAGGAATAAAACATAGATTTCTTGCGAAGAATCCAAAGGGCAACCGAGTCTGTGCTGGCCGAGGGGAAAGGCAACGTCTTCACCCAAAAGCTGGGATCTGAAGCTTTTTCTCCTCAATCCCGAATTCTTTCTGCCCAGGCATGGGACAGCTTCGGATTCACCTCAGTTGCTAGTGCAGTGGCCAGAGGTGCCGGCCTCTCAACCTTCGCCTTTCCTGTGGACGGCCAAGAGACGCTGCAACAAAATTCTGATCACCCGTGGGAAATCCCGAAAACACTTTTAAATAATCTAGACATTATTCCCTCCGTTCAGTTACAAGTCAGGCAGGCTCGGGGCGCTGCACTGCGTTACATGAGTGTATTGAAGAAGTGATTTCAAGGTATTTTTAACACTGCAAAAGAACATAATTGTATTCTGTCCTCAAAGTAGTTTTGTCGCAACTGTAACTTCCCACTTGCTGTGTGTCTCTGAGTACTCGGCATTTTTCCAATAAAACCTACCTCCGAGGCGCAGTCAGAGACTGCGGGTCATCTGGAGCAGAACACCAGTCGCTCGCTGTGTTTTCTCCTAACCTGAGTGCTCGGCCTTCCCGGACTTGAGGTACGGACATTTCGGAGTTGTGTGCTTGCAAGAACAGAACCTTTTCAAGGGTAAAGATTATTTTTGTATTCCGGTTTTATTTGTATATTTCCAAGACGGAGGCAAAATGAGGCGTCTCTTTAAACTCTGCTTGTGGAACCAAACCGGCACCCACTCCCAGGAAAGGATAATGGGGTATGCGAGGGGGCCCCCTCGTCTCGTTTAGGGCAAGCAAGGTTTTGTCCAGCGGTGTGGGGACTGCATAGAGTCCAGAGCTCCGAGAGGATCTGAGCGCCCCAAGGTCTCACGTGCGCCACAAGTGGTTTGGGGGCGGAAGGAGGAGCGCGGCGACACCTGCCGCGCTGTCGGGCGAACCCAGAGGGTTGAACTCCTGGAGGTCCCCTCTATCTCCTGTCATTCACACTCCCCACCCCCCACCCCCACACTGTCCTGCCTCTTCAACTGCAGGAATGACCGCCCAACTCCAACCTCCGCGCACCAGCAGTCAGGTGGGTGGGCGCGCGGCCACTAGACCGGCAGCTACGTGACCCCAGGGAGGGAGGCGCACAAGGCACTGGTACCGCGAGTCACAGAGGGGGACGCCCGCACCTAGGCAGCAGGTGCACAGGCGGCAGCGCGGGACACCGGAGTGACGGGCCGCTCCGGCCGGCCGTGATGAGGTGCGCGGCCGGGAGGCCATTTCGTCGCTGCGCTCCTGGCGGAGCTGGGGTGGCCTGAGCCTGCCGCGGCTGCTGCGCGAGTCAGCCCGGCTGGAGGACTAGAGGGGACGAACGATCAGCGGTCCTCCAGCCGGCTTGGAGCTGGCGCCCCAGTCCCGAGTAAGGCTGTGCGCCTGGACCCCGGGAGGCGGAGCCTCGGGCCCCGCACCTCGCCGCCCTCGCAGATCGCAGCGGAGAGGTTGCCAGTGTCCTGGGACCCGCGCCGCCGCCCTCGGTGAGGGAGGGTAGTTGACAGGTCGAGGGAGTCGGGCTCGCCGGGTGGCCCGCGCAGCACGGGACCCCGCGGCGGAGGGGGCGGAGCGGGGAGGAGACTGCGGCTCGGTGGAGCACGGCGCAGCCTCGGGCGGGCGGGCGGCCGGCGTGACGCGGCGGGATTAACTTTGCATGGCTAATTCGAGCACCGCCGTGGAGGCCACTGGCTGCTCGGCCGCAGCTCGCCCGCACGCCGCCTCGGGGCGCCACCGCGAGGCTCCAGCGCACGGGTAACGTGGCGCGGCGGGGGCGCAGGGTGGGCGGGGGGCGACAAGTCTGCGGGCCGGGCACGAGTGACAGGCGCCGCGCGGTGTCCCTGCCGCGGGCCTCTGCGTCCCGGTTCCTCTCGGGCTCGGGCACCCGAGTGCAGGAAGCTGAAGCCCGAACGCAGCTGGGGACAGGCTTCTTGTGAAATGGAGTTTGGCATCCTGGGCGCCGAACCCAGTGGAAGTTTCCATGAGGAGGAAGTTGTAGGACACCGGGGTTCAGAAGAGGCTGACAGGCGCGGGGGTGGGCAGTTTAAAGGGACTGTGCGTCTCCTATCCCCCTCTTTTTGCCCCTGCCCCGGAACTCGAGGGTTTGGAAAGAAGAAAGCTCCCGAATGTTACATGCTCTGGCCAGTGCCTGGCGATTCTGCCTCTCACCGCCTCCGCGGGCTCGCTCCCTCCAGAGTCGCTCTTTTGCTTTACTTCTCTTGACGCAGCATCTTTTGGGGTCGCTCGGGTCGGTGGTGATCCAGGTGGTGTCAGCTGTGCGACCCCAAGATCGGGGAAGGCGTCTTTGGAGAGTTTCTATTGCTTAGTGTCAGTTGTCATTTTGGAGGAAGATTTCCCGTGACCATAGTGGGATTATTATCGGAGCTAATTCTTAAAGCCTTCTGGTTTGTTTTTAAGAGGGAGCAGGCAGGGTGTGTATTCGTGGATTGTTTTAGTTTTTTAATTACAAGCTAAATGTATAATTTGCCCCAAATGGGGAAAAATTTAAAGGGTTTATTAAGCATTCCTAAAGTGAGTCAAATAAAGAAAGGAGCACCTGGGCAGGCAGGTTCGGTCTCCCATTCTGCCCTTTCCACGCGCTGGAGAACTCAAAGGCTTGCTGAATCAGAAAATAACATTGAATAACGCCCCCCCCACACACACACACCTTCGAGTGTGGTTGATCCTAGGGACTGGAGACCGGTGTTAAAGACTTGTTGTGAAACTGAACAAATTGAGCATTCCTCGTTAAATGCATGAATAGGAGAACTCGGCAATTTTGTTAAAAGATGAATGTATTAAGTACCGTAGATCTATTGGGAAGTGTCTTTATATGACTTGGCTCTGGCTTAGCTTTTTGTTGACACTGTAATGAAATGTTGCCGCGCTGTATTGCAAAGGAATAAAATTTCTTTTTGGTAAAAAATGTTCCATGATTCATTCTGAATATTCTGGATGACTGATCTCCCTAATTCACTTCAGCTTGTCATTTCTCGTTCTGAAAGAAGTCATACGCTGGCAACCATTAATGAAAAAGGTGCTTGAGTAGGAAGTGTTTTGAACAGTGGCAGACTTTAGGTTGTTTTCATGCTGATTGGTTGTGCTTTGGTTGACCCTAGCAGAAATTAAGTAAAAAGTACTTTCCTTGGGGCATTTTTATGTGAAGAGATTGGTGGAGAGCAATTTATTGTTCGCCCATGTTAAATAGATACTATTAGAATCCTATTTTTAAATGAATTCTAAAGGTTTATTGTATACTTGGAGTGGAAAATCTGCTTTATTTTGTGAGTAAAAGTAAGTGATACTGAACATAGCTCCATAATTGTTCTTGTTTTTTAAAATGAAACAGTTCTTGTTGGCATTATAATGCAAAAGCATAATCTCGTTGACGTGGGGCTATCGCTATATAAAGTAACTGGCCTTAAGAGGGGAATAAATACTCCGGTTCTCCCCTTCCAGCTTCTTTGTGGTCAGTTCTGCTGTAACAAGAGATGAGCGGCTGCGACTTCCCTGTGACCCAGCCCCTCTGGGAAAGGTGGTTTGTTAGAGAAAGCCGAGGCCTCTCCATCCCTGCTCAGATGCTGGAAGGGAGCTTGGAGCCACCAGTGGGCTTCCATATTTTCTGTATAGTAAGCTCATCCTTTTCGTGGACATCGGAGGAAAAGTGATGGGCCTCTTGAGCATCTTGCTCTAGTGTTAAGTTCCATATTGCCTTCTTAGACAAGCCTTTCCTTGACCACTTGAAGGGAGTCTGTCCTGCGTTCTCTCTCCAAGGCCTCTCTGCTTTCTGTTCTGCCCGCCCCTAACCCCCAGTACTGGCTATGATCAGAACTGACCCTGGGAGCCGATACTTGTTGGTTGATTTCCTTTTTGAAACTGAATTCTGAATATTCTAGATGGCAGTGTAGCGTCTAGGAGGGCAGAAGTGTTTATTGCTTCATTCACTGTTGTTCTCCCTACATCTGGAAAGATGCTTAGCCCACAGTAGGCACTAGGTAAATTTTAACTGAACAAATTAGAGGTTGTGCCCAAACATTGTCCTCCCCCAAATGCCTGACTGAATACTTCAACCATTGCCATTTTGGACATGCCAAAATCTCGAGAGGTGTGAACAGACATACACACACATACACATACACATACACAGACACACACACACACACACACACACACACACACACACACACACACACAAACTAGGAATCAGTCTTCGCATGTTTCTCACTCTCTGGTGCTCTCTGTCTGGCAATAGCTGGTCTTCCTTTCTGTGTAGTTAATTCTCCAAGTTCCTCTACCAGCCTTGGCTGTATAGAAACATTCAACAGTGGTTTTGCCTTACATATTCCTTGATCCCTTACAGTTCCCTTGATTCCTGGAGATACTGACCTTTAGTTCCTGAGTTTCCGCAGAACCTTCCTCGTTTCAGAGGCCTTGTCAAGACAGAGAGTGAAACTGCAGACCCTGGACATCACTGAGTGGACACAAGGATTTTCACACTTGAGGCCTTGGGAAGGCCTCCGGCTTTGGCAGCTCAGAGTAGACCAAGGGCTTGCAGTGGGAGTGTTTAGACTAAAAAAAATGTTGGTTGGGAAGGGGGCAATTGGGGTTACTGGTGTAACACAACCTAGAAAAGTTCTTGGTGATCGATTAGAAATAACCTGCTCGTTCCTATGTGCTGTTAGCCAACCAGCCTTTGCCTGTGCTTCCTTTCCCCCTCCCCCCTTTCACAAACATATTGTGATCCAGGTGATTGTGAGGAATATTCAATTATCTGAGTTTTCACATGACCAGAGTATGGTAAAGGCTCACCTAAAAATTATTACCAATGGCAATTCTTGCCAATTCAGACCACAGCGAAATTGTAGTTGATAATCATGGTAATTTATTTTGAAACAGAACCAAGTTTTAGAAATGTGTCTGAGGAAATACGTAATAAAACCCTGAAAAGCAGGGCCAAAGAGAGAGCTGAGCAATTAAGAGTGCTTGATGATGTCACAGAAGACCCAGGTTTAGTCCCCAGCACCATGTCGGGCAACTCATAACTGCCTGTGACCCCATCTCTAGGGACCTGCTTCCCTCTTCTGGACTCTGGGCATCTGTACTTAAATACTCCTAGCTTCACACATATACGTGTATTGTAAAAAAACAGTAAAAGTAATTCTAAAAAATCCCACAAAATAATTAAAGTTGGTATTGTTAATAGTGGGAGGGAAGAAATGGTCAATGTTTTGGGAAAAGAGGAAGGAAATTACACCAAAATCCAAAGGCTTACTGCTTTAGCATATTTAATTTAGTGCCAACTTCATGGTAGCCAATTTTACATAAAAAAGGGGTTGTGTCTGTCTGAAATTGGCATTGAAGAGAAGGGATCACGTGCCATCTGCAGGATGTTCACAATACCTGACAACTATTAAAAGGTCACATGAAACACCATGGGCAATACTTCAACAGAGTCACATAAAATGAAGTAGGGTTCTTTATGTCATCATGTGTTTAGCCAACTCTCAAGAGGAGAAAAATGCAGGGGCATAATGAAAAAAAGAATCCCAGTGTAAATTTCTCTGTGGAACTAAGCTGCTGTGGTCCAATGGTGTGGGTTCTGGCATAGCCTCAGTACTTCAATAGAGCTCAGAAAACTGGCAGAATGAATGGCTAACATGTGCACTAAGGTAACTTCCTCAAAGATCCAGTGTGTTGGCCTGACTTTTGTCTGGAGCAACTGGAGAGGACAGGGAAGCTGGGTGTTTGAAAATGACCCTATAACCACAGACTCCCTGAGCAGGGACCCACTAATGCTTTGTCCTTGATCTCTGGAGCTCTGTCTTTCAGGGTTTTCTGTTTCTTTCTCTGTCTAAACTGTGGTGAAAGCCTGTGTGTGACTTTTCCCATCCCTGACACCAAGCGCCTAGAAAAGACCTGGGTACATGGACACTGGTGTAACTGTGGTTGGAAGACCAGGGGTCCGGACAGGGCAGTCATGCTCTTTCCCTTCCATGTCAGTATGAGCATGTCTTTCAACATGGCTTGGCCGAAAATGAATGTGTGAGTTACATCACGAGCCAAAGCATGTGACTGTTTCTTTGATTAGGACTTTAGCTTGTGTCAAAGCTGGATAAGCAGTTGATGGCAAGTTAGCCTCTTGTTTGAAAGTCATTTTCATGCCTTTATTTAGTTCCTCAATCTGCAGATATTTTTTATATCTACCGTGTATCT